CTAAAACCGGAGGATTATACAGTGCCTGGTCCACTGGTGCAGCTGGTGGTGCTGCTGTTGTCATACAGAGTGATGGTTCTCATAAAGAAATTGGAGCACGCATCAAAAACTGGGTCTCTACCCTTCAGATAAAACTGTTTGTCATACTCCTTGCACTCAAGTGCGTCCATGTATCTAAGGTTGACACTTTAATTGTAACTGATTCTCTGTCATCCATAAATGCTCTCAACTCATTAAGTATAAATTATGGCATGCTTGTGTCAGTAGCCAGACACAGGTATGGTAGGATCGTAGACAGTGGAGTCAGAGTGTACATGCTGTGGATTCCATCTCACATTGATCTTCAAATGCATGATAGAATTGATGAATTGGCTAAGTTGTATGCTTTCAAAGAGGAAGTAGATTACAATCTTGGGTTATCAGTTAGAAGTTTGAGAACAATTATACGAAAAGAACTTCAACTGAACTTTACTAACTTAAGACTCAGGGAGAGTGACACAAGTCAGTCCATCTATCATCATTCTATCATGCAGGAGGAGCCACATGTCTATGGTACATCCAACAAGATAAGCCGACTCTTGGATGTCACTACCGCCCGGCTCCGGCTGGGTTATAAGTATCTATGGTAGGTTAAATCACCACCACAATGCCCCTAGCACATTTCCCCTCCTTGCCAAACTTCCACCAGGAAGCAATGCAGAATGCTTGATTCTTGCTGTCTTAAGCATAAACAATAATATACATCTTTAACATGGTAATAAAGTGGGTACAGGATTTTCCTTAATTGTCCTGTTAAGGTAAGAGATTGATTGTCTCCTATTTAAACTACACACTTGCACCATCGGTCTCTTGCAAAGAGCAGCGTGACCATGTAACTGGTACACCCTAGTTAAACATCTGCTGGTAATTACTTGATGTAGCAGTAAACAACATACTTGCCCTTTCTGAGAGGGCTGGGCCCTCAGGGCTGAAAAGGTCTGAAGGGGGCTGATACGTCCCTCCTGGAGAAAATTTCTCCACAGGATGGGTATAGTGGGCATAAACATATTAAAGTAAATCTCTCAATACTAACCAAAACAACTAATCAGTTATTATGTTATATAACCTTTAGTCTACTAAACATCTGCCAATCCATGAATATTACTGCTTGAGCCATTGTAATATTATGTTTATTATATGCAGATTCAAGATTATTATCTTAGCGTCCACCTCGCCTACTTTGCATCAGTATTTTTAATAACAGTTTACCACTCTTATCTTGTCTTGATTTAAGCAATTATTATAGTATTATACCTGAAACCGTCATTACACATTGTAACCTTTACAAAAAACTAAAATCTTTATCTGTATCATATAACAAAGACCAGAGTTAAACAATACTTGTCCTGTTAGGTAAGACACATATGCAACAGTTAGACAACTTTATTTCGAAACGTTTCGCCTACACAGTAGGCTTCTTCAGTCGAATACAGAAAGTAGGCAGGAACAGTAGAGATGTGAAGACGATGTAATCAGTCCATCACCCTTGAAGTCGTAGAATTTGAGGTTGTCAGTCCCTCGGCCTGGAGAAGTTCAGTTCCATAGTCAGGAACTATCTGAAGATCAAGCGACAGTGCGGGTGATGGACTGATTACATCGTCTTCACATCTCTACTGTTCCTGCCTACTTTCTGTATTCGACTGAAGAAGCCTACTGTGTAGGCGAAACGTTTCGGAATAAAGTTGTCTAACTGTTGCATATGTGTCTTACCTAACAACCTGTCGGTATTGTATACCATTTTGATGTTCAATACTTGTCCTGTTTCCTGACACACCTTACTTAACCTAACTTACACTGTATCTTCATCTCTAGAATACATTTGTTAGTTCTAGTAGTCTGTCTTAACCTCTAGAATATACTTGATCACTTACAATGATTCTAGCAATCCTGGCTTGTAATAATAATAATGTTTATTTCTACACGAACATGATACAACTTGTACAGACCATAGTTAACATCAGTGACATACTATACAGAAAGTCCCTTGTTATGTAGAGCATTTCCTGAAGCTTAGGATAAACAAAATAAAGAAAACCTCGTAGCCTGGACAGGCCTATCTCAGGGATAGGCAGGCCTACCTCAGGGATAGGCAGGCCTACCTCAGGGATAGGCAGACCTACCTCAGGGATAGGCAGGCCTACCTCAGGAATAGGCAGGCCTACCTCAGGGATAGGCAGGCCTACCTCAGGAATAGACAGGCCTACCTTAGGAATAGACAGGCCTATCTCAGGGATAGGCCTACCTCAGGGATAAGCAGGCCTACCTCAGGGATAGGCAGGCCTACTTCAGGGATAGGCAGGCCTACCTCAGGGATAGGCACGCCTATCCCTGAGTGAATACTGAGTGAATACCTATCCCTGAGTGAATACTGAAACAAGCTGCCTCTTTCCAGTCTATATTTGTCCAACCTATTTTTATGTTACCCAAGTAATAGCTTTTATATCCTTTTACTCATGTACGAATTAATTGCTCTATCATATTGTATTACTTTTGTCACTACCACTACTACTACTACTACTACTACTACCACTAGTGAACATCGAAATGTTACCTCACTAGTATTGCACCTCACTCTGAGCCTTTATATACCCTCTGTGTCCATGTATTGTTTGTAATGGCTTGATAAAGCTCCTGGAGAGCGAAACGTTGCCACAATAAATGTCACATTAGTTGCACTTGTGTCCTTTTACTTTACATATTGTCGGTAATTCTACCAACTTTATTACAATCTACAACTCTGTTAGAAAACCAGTACTTACCTATGTCCTTTCTAAATCTAAATTTATCCAACTTAAATCCATTATTCCTGGTTCTTACCTGGTTCGACACCCTCAGTACTTTATTAATATCTCCCTTGTTTATGCCCGTCATCCACTTATACACTTCAATGATATCTCCCCTCATTCTACGCCTCTCCAGAGAGTGGAGATTTAAGGCTTTAAGTCTATCTTCATATGGGAGGTTCCTTACACAGTAAATCATTTTAGTCATTCTTCTTTGTATGTTCTCTAATGAGTCTATATCCATCCTGTAGTAAGGGGACCAAAACTGAGCAGCATAATCTAAATGAGGCCTCACTAGTGATGTATAGAGCTGTAAAATAACTTTTGGACTTGTTACTTATACTTCTTGAGATAAATCTAAGTAATCTGTTGGCCTTGTTGCGCACACTAAGGCACTGCTGTCTTGGCTTTAGATTTCTGCTCACCATGACTCCCAAGTCCTTTTCACATTCTGTATGATCAAGCTCTACTTCACCTAGATTATAGCTTCGAGGGCAGGCATACCTCAGGGATAGGCAGGCCTACCTCAGGGATAGGCAGGCCTACCTTAGGGATAGACAGGCCTACCTTAGCTTCGAGGGACATTGCAGGAACTCGTAAACCTTCCATTGCATACCGTTAAACACGTGTTACTATACAAAATAACAACATGGAGAGTGGAATGATAGCTCTAGGCCTTTCGTGTTGCAATCAGTACATCATCAGGGGCTTGCAATGCTGCTGTAATAAATTAGGATATCCAGGTAGAGTTGTTCAAGGGAGCGACGCTCCCTGAGAGGTGTATATCTCTCAGTATATATACATTGATAAGTGTATATATGTGTTATATAACGAAGTGTGACGTAACATAGTCTTACATCTTTCAGTTTCTCGACGTTACGTTAAGAACATAGTGAAGGTGATACTGATAGTGACACTGTTAGTGGTGGTCATGACCACCATACTACCCTCCCTCACCACTCACTATCACCACAATCATCACTATCAACAACCTAGTGAGGGTGAGAGTCATCACAATGAACGTGAGGTGAATGTTCATCAAGGTGACAGTGACGTGACTACTCCTGATAATGAAGATAGTGTAGACAGTAGTAGCGGTGACACCATCAATCAGACTATCACTGCTGGCAAGGAAATACTTAGTACTAGAAATGCAAGAGTTGTCTGCACTAATAACTACGATAACAAGGAGGACGTTGATGTTATCAAGACCACCAGTGATAACTCACATCATATTATCAAGACTACCATTGATAACTTACGTCAAGTTATCAAGGCCACCATTGATAACTTGCGTCAAGTTATCAAGACCACTTGTGTTAACTTGGATCAAGTTATCAAGAGAAGCAGCAATAACTTGGATCAAGTTATCAAGAGAAGCAGCGATAACTTGGATCAAGTTATCAAGAGAAGCAACGATAACTTGGATCAAGTTATCAATCATCTTAGTCCGAAGACCAACCAGGTGCTTGTTGCAGAGGTAAGTGTGTGTACTCACCTATTTGTGGTTGCAGTGATCGATCCACAGCTCCTGGCCCTGCATCTTCACTGGTCGCTACTAGGTCCACTCTCTCCCTGCTCCATGAACTTTATCATACCTCTTTTTAAAGCTATGTATGGATCCTGCCTCCACGGGTGATTGTTCGACTTCCTGACAACTCTGTGACTGAAGAAATACTTCCTAAGATCTCCGTGACTCATCTGAGTTTTCAACTCCAGTTGTGACCCCTTGTTGCTGTGTTCCATCTCTGTCTCTATCTACATTGTCAATTTCTCTCATCATTTTACATATTGTTATCTTGTACCCCATATTCCTTCTGTCCTCAAGTGTCGTCAGGGTGATTTCCCTTAATTAACCTCTCCTCGTAGAACATACCACTTAGCTCTGGGACTAGTCTTGATGCAAACTTTTGCCCTTTCTCTAATTTATTGACGTGTTTGACCAGGTGTGGGTTCCATACTGGTGTTGCATACTCCAATATGAGCCTGACGTAGCTACACGGTGTATAGTATCGAAGTAGCCAGGCATAATAGAGGCTCTCTTTGCACTGCAACCCATCATTGTAAAAATATTATCCCAATGTACCATTTGCAAAGAAATAAATGAATATGAATATAATGACTCCTTACTTAGATGTTGAAATGCTATACTCAGGTTTACCAATCGCCCATGTACTGCAGCAGTAATTTGGCTGACGTGGCCTCAGGAGATGTGTTCCATGCTGCAGGAGCAGACTACAGCCAACACGTCAACCCCAGCACCAAAAGTCACCAGTGAAGAACGCTGTATGGAGCTCAAGAGAGCACAGCATGACATCCAGTATTACCTCTAAGGCCTAAGCCATCAATTGATGTCGACGATCACATCCTTCACCGATATCATCAACCACCTGATAGACTCTGAAGAAAACAGACATTCAGAACTATTACCTGGAGTTTACCTGGAGAGAGTTCCGGGGGTCAACGCCCCCGCGGCCCGGTCTGTGACCAGGCCTCCTGGTGGATCAGAGCCTGATCAACCAGGCTGTTGCTGCTGGCTGCACGCAAACCAACGTACGAGCCACAGCCCGGCTGGTCAGGAACCGACTTTAGGTGCTTGTCCAGTGCCAGCTTGAAGACTGCCAGGGGTCTGTTGGTAATCCCCCTTATGTGTGCTGGGAGGCAGTTGAACAGTCTCGGGCCCCTGACACTTATTGTATGGTCTCTTAACGTGCTAGTGACACCCCTGCTTTTCATTGGGGGGATGGTGCATCGTCTGCCAAGTCTTTTGCTTTCGTAGTGAGTGATTTTCGTGTGCAAGTTCGGTACTAGTCCCTCTAGGATTTTCCAGGTGTATATAATCATGTATCTCTCCCTCCTGCGTTCCAGGGAATACAGGTTTAGGAACCTCAAGCGCTCCCAGTAATTGAGGTGTTTTATCTCCGTTATGCGCGCCGTGAAGGTTCTCTGTACATTTTCTAGGTCAGCAATTTCACCTGCCCTTGAAAGGTGCTGTTAGTGTGCAGCAATATTCCAGCCTAGATAGATCGTCGTGAACATATAGTGGAGATCGTCGTGAACATATAGTGGAGATCGTCGTGAACATATAGTGGAGATCGTCGTGAACATATAGTGGAGATCGTCGTGAACATATAGTGGAGATCGTCGTGAACATATAGTGGAGATCGTCGTGAACATATAGTGGAGATCGTCGTGAACATATAGTGGAGATCGTCGTGAACATATAGTGGAGATCGTCGTGAACATATAGTGGAGATCGTCGTGAACATATAGTGGAGATCGTCGTGAACATATAGTGGAGATCGTCGTGAACATATAGTGGAGATCGTCGTGAACATATAGTGGAGATCGTCGTGAACATATAGTGGAGATCGTCGTGAACATATAGTGGAGATCGTCGTGAACATATAGTGGAGATCGTCGTGAACATGTAGTGGAGATCGTCGTGAACATATAGTGGAGATCGTCGTGAACATATAGTGGAGATCGTCGTGAACATATAGTGGAGATCGTCGTGAACATATGAGTGACGAAGAAAACAGTCATGCGTTTATTTACAAATTTACTGGATCACCCAACACAGGTCCCAGAGACAATGACATAAGAACATAAGAAAGAACACTGCAACAGGCCTACTGACCCATGCGGAGCAGGTCCATGTCCCACCCCCTCGGATAAGCCCAATGACCCACCCAGTCTGGTCACCTCCATTCAAGGAAGGAGCACGGCACTAGACCTAGCAACACAAGCTAGTCAGGTCCAACTCACACCCACCCACACCCACTCATGTATTTATCTAACCTATTTTTAAAACTACACAACGGGGGACCTGATGATCTCAGCCCGCTGTTGAACATAAGATGTCTTGCAGTGAAACACTCAGGGACTACAGCAACACTCAGGGACTACAGCAACACTCAGGGACTACAGCAACACTCAGGGACTACAGCAAGACCCTGATCACAGCCACATAACACCTGAAATACTTCAACGACTTCGAGATCCTCAGACGGGTCATCTTGCGATTAAGACCCATGTCAAGATGAACTTCCTGACGAATCGAACAAATAACAATCAGGAGACGTGCTAGGTATGATGCTCACCCCAAGATCATTTTCCTTGAGTGAGATTTGCAGCATTTAACCCACTAGGCTTACTCCGTCTCCTTTCCCAAACTTCATGACTTTGCACTTGGTCGGGTTAAACCCCAGGAGCCAGTTGTTGGACCAGGTTTGCAGCCTCTCCAGATCTTCTTGTCCTACCTGATCCTCGTCCACTTCACATGGTTTGCAGACTGGGACACCTCTGAATCTAGTCCTTCCATCATGTCATTCACATATACCAGAAACAGCACCGGCCCTAGGACTGACCCTTGTGGAACTCCGGTTGATACACTGGACCTAGGACTGACCCTTGTGGAACCTCACTCGACAAATGCACTCATTCCGACACCTCGTCACATAGCAACACTCGTTGTTTCCTTCCTGTTAGGTATTCCCTGATACATTGCAGTACTTTTCCCGTTATTCCTACCTGCTCCTCTAGCTTTTCAATAAGTCTGTTGTATGGTACTGTGTCGAAAGCCTTCTTACAGTTCAAGAAGATGCAGTCTACCCTCCCCTCTCTCTCTCTCCTGTCTTCTGTTACCATGTGATAAAACTCCAATAAGTTTGCTGGGGCCCAGTCCCTGGACCCATTATGTACCTCTGTAATCCTTTGACTACCTCCCACGGGATGGGTATGGTGTGCATAATAAGGATATTAAATTGAACTGTTTGTGACACAGGATTTCCCTTCCCTGAAACCGTGCTGGTTATCATGTATAAACTCATTCCTTTCTAGGTGTTCCACCACTCTTCTGACAATCTTCTCCATGACTTTACATACTATACATGTCCATGACACTGGTCTGTACGTTAATGCTGCATATCTGTTCTTCTTAAAAATTAGGACTACTTTTGTTGTTTTCCACAACTCAGGTAGTCGCCCTGTTATGATATGTGTTGAAGATTGTTGTTAGTGGTACACATGGCGCCTCTGCTCCCTCTCTCAAGACCCATGGAGAGATATTGTCTGAGCCACCGTCTTCGAGGTATCTAGTTCATCTACCTCATTTCCTTATTTTCCTGCGTCTTTTGTCTTCTACACTTTTTCCAAGTTCTAGCGCACTTGGTTTTGGCCTCTCCACACCTTCGGGTGAACCAAGGGCTCGTTCTGGTTTTCCCATTGTTTCTGTTGCCCTTGAGTATGAATTTCTACTCTGCCTCCATGCACTCGGTGGTCACGGGTTCCATCATTTCATTCACTGTCTTTCCCTCCAGTTCCCTTCCCCACCGCACCTCATGCAGGAATTGCCTCATACCTGTGTAGGCTCTTTTGAAGTTCGTCTTCTCCCGCCCTTCTCATGCTGACTCACTCTCCACTGTTAACTGTACAATGTATTTGAAGCTCAAGACTACGTTATCATTAGTTTTTCTTTCCCACTTCTGTTCCATTGTGCTCTTTTGTTCCATTGTACTAATTCTTCCTTCTCAGCTCAGCCATCCCCAGTACCCTTGCCTCTACGTACTGCCTTTTGGAATGCCATTTTTGAAGTTAATGTGAAGCGTGGTAGTGTTAATGTGTGTGTTTATGTATGTGTGTGTGTGTGTGTGTGTGTGTGTGTGTGTGTGTGTGTGTGTGTGAGTTCTCACTTATTTGTGGTTGCAGGGATCGATTCACAATGTGTATGTGTGTACGTTTGTACCAAGTTATGCAGTTCATTGTGCTGGTTGCAGTGCCACCCTGCTAGGATGTAGTACTGGCACTGTGTGTCAACTTTCAACCAGGAAAATCATTGCTAATGTCAATGACATTCTTCCAGGAACCATCAACATTCATTCCTAACGACCCGGATACATCTCGAGGAATGAAGCCAGCTACTATCCCCAAGAGATTCTTAATAGAAGAGCCAGATTACTGCCAGAAGCGGCCGGGTCTACAGATCATAGCTTACGTTCACTCGTCTATCATGAGAGTCGAAGAGAGGAACGATACTCGCTCCACCTGGGCCAACGCCTCAGCCTACGACCTAGGTGATATTAGTGTGAAAGTAGGCGCTGTGTTCATGGTGGGACGACCCAAGAACGACGAGGAACGAAACATTATTCAGAAGGAGAGCCAACAGTACCACGATATTGTCCAGGTGAGTCAACAGTACTATTGTCCAGTAAACCATATCACGGGTGGGGTTTGAAGCCCCGACGGTCTGGAGTTTTGAGACTTCTGACCGCGGGTTCAAACCCCACCCGTGGTATGGTTTGTTTGCAAACGTGTCATTACGATTTCGTAAGTCTTGTTGTCCAGTCAAGTCCTAGACACAATGATAGTCACTACCACCATCATATTGTCCAGGAAATCGATACCTGAGTGGCAAAAAAAGTTTTGCTTTGATTGAACTGTTAAAAATGTTTAGAAGTCTTAGAATACTTGTTTAAGAGTGAAAGACTGGTTAACACAGATCTCTATATAACGTACATGTCTAATGATGAGAGTAAGACACATGTGCAACATCTGGGTATCTTTATTGTAGACGTTTCGCCATCCAGTGGCTTTATCAATACAAATTCTAGGACATAACTTGAAGACAGTAGAACTATGTACAGAAGATGAGGTAATCAGTCCCTCAACCTAGGAGTAGGTGCGAACAGCACCATATGGTGCTGTTCGCACCTACTCCTAGGTTGAGGGACTGATTACCTCATCTCTGTACATAGTTCTACTGTCTTCAAGTTATGTCCTAGAATTTGTAATGTTAAAGCCAGATGGATGGCGAAACGCTACAATAAAAACCCAGTATGTTGCCATGTGTACCTACTCTCAGTTGACGGTATATATACTTCGTAACAACTTTAGACACTAGTATCATCATGTCTTACGAGTCATGTCCATAATTAGTACTTGAATAAAGCAACTAACCTTTTGGGAAGACTACTTCACGGGGAAATGATACCCAGTGATTGCCTTTCGTCTCCCTCACCTGTCGTATATTAACCATTCTTTACTCTGCTTCAGAACTCCACACATGGTCTTTAATTCTAGAGGGACTGTATACCTCATCTGACTGACATATCTACTACTTCAAGTTATTCCGATTTCTATTGGTAAAGCCACTTCCATGGTGAAATCCTAGATACCCAGTGTAATTTGTCCCTCGTCTTGCTATTAATACCTTCGTACACTATGTTAAGAGCAGTCCTGGATCCTTTCTTCCTGTTGTAATTCCCGTAGGTAGCTGTCGCACCTATTTCCTAGGTTGAGATACAGTATTGACCTCATTTGTACCTTGTAATGTTGATACAGTCTTTACATTATGTCCTAAATTTGATTGTACAGTCCCTGGATCCGTAGTCTGTAATTAAGATACAGATCTGGCCCCATTGTCTTCTGTAATGTTGTCGTATTATCTGGACCATTCAGTACCTCATGTAATGTTGTGATACAGTCCCTGGACCCATTATGTACCTGTGTAATGTTGGGGACAGTCGCCTGGACCCATTATGTGCCTCAAATGTTGAGAACAGTCCCTGGACCCATTATGTACCTATGTAATGTTGAGGTACAGTCTCCTGGACCTATATATGAAACCTTTATGAATGTTTGACGGTAAGTTGGGAATCAGTTATGTGCTGTAATGTTGAATCTTCATCTCGGACCATTCTAATGTACCTCGTAATGTGGTTGTTACAAGTTCCCACTTGTTCACCTTATGTAAACCTCTGATTTTGGTGTACATTCCCGGACCCATTATGTCCTCTGTAATGATGAGGGTCAGTCCCTGGACTCCAGATTATGGTGCCATCGATGTTGAGACAACATTCCCTGGACTCCATTATTCCTCTGTTTTGGGATGATGAAGAGTGTGAAAAGTCCTATGACCATATGCTCATAACTTCTGTAATCTTGTGACTACCACCCACAGGATGGGTATGGGGTGCTTAATAAAGATACTAAACTATCTTATATAAACATTATTTTGGTTACAGGGTGACTATGGTGATCACTACCGTCTCTTGAGTTACAAGGGCCTGGCCAGCTTGTACTGGATCAACAGACATTGTCGTGATGTACCGTGGACACTGCACTCTGATGATGATACACATATTGACATCTTCCTGTTCTACAGAGCTCTGAAAGAGCTCGATCCCATCTCCAAGCAGCAGTTTATATGTAGCCACATGTATGGACCAGTGCTGAGAGAAGGAAGGTGGAAAGTGAGCCCTGAGGAGTATCCAGAGAAGGAATATCCTCTGTATTGCTCAGGAGGAGTTTGGTTCCTGCAGACCAGGCTCATATCTTTTCTACTACAAGCGTCAAAGGTCGTTCCGTATCTCTGGGTGGACGATGCCTACATCACCGGTGTCCTGGCCGTTAAGGCTGGCATAAAGCGACTTGGATTTCACGATTTCTACGGTAACCATGAATCCAACCACACAGTTATTGGTCACCAGGTGGCCTGGTTCACCAAGGCTTTCTCCAGATGGTCCTGGTGGACACAGATAGTCAACTATCACAGAAATCATTCCTTGCACAATCCCCCAACGTTAATTCCTATAGGGAAATTTAATCCTGGAAAATATAGGAATGACATTTAAAACTGAATTTTAATCTGATGAAGTATTTCCATGAAACGGAACCACATTGGAAACACTTGATGCTTAAAAATGTGCCCTGCTTCATCGTTGAATAATGACCAAGTTGATGGTACCACTTGTTAATGGTACCACATGTTAGTGGATAGAATGGTTTATTTGAAAAATAGAACCGAAAAGTTGAAGATTGAGGATTAGCAAGACATGGAAGTATCTTTAGAAATACGGTGCACAAGTGGCTACATCAGTCTACCAAAGTAGATATGGGTATGAGGAGGAGGTGGGCTAGTTAATTTAGGTGCATCAACTAATGAGGGGTGTTCGGTTCGATTTGAGTGGGATTGCACATCCAGAGCTTATTTACTTGGGTAGATGTTGAAAAGGGGTGGTCAAAGTGGGGATGAATGTAAAGGACCGCCCAGTAGGCCACAGCTGCCACTTTCCTCCTTTACACTATGTACTGTATGCTCTCTGCTTCAACTCATCTCACTGCAGTATATAAGCCACCTCTCTGGCCCTATGCTGCACTTCCTACAAGAGTGATGGACTGAACACATCGATTCCAGGTTGAGGGACTGATTACCTCAAAACTTCTACTCTCCTTACCCATTTCTACTTTGTATTGGACTGATGAAGCCACTGTGTGGCGAAACGTTTCTTCAATAAAGATTCCCATGTGTTGCATAAGTGTCTCAATTCTGGTACCACTGTAATGGTACCACTGTAATGGTACCATGGTGAATACTGTTATTGGAAAAGCAATTGTGCCAATGTTATTGTCCTGTTATATTCTTTAAGACAATGTTTATTATTAGTGTTGATGTGTTTATGATGATTATTAGTAATGAATAATAATGTTTAAATTAAAACTAAGAATCGTGAAAGATGTTTTCTGTATTGTGAACTAATGTCTGTCGACGTCTAGTGACGGTAAGATGTACTGTTGACGTCTAGTGACGGTAAGATGTCTGTTGACGTCTAGTGACGGTAAGATATCTGTTGACGTCTAGTGACGGTAAGATGTCTGTTGACGTCTAGTGACGGTTAGATGTCTGTTGACGTCTAGTGACGGTTAGATGTCTGTTGACGTCTAGTGACGGTAAGATGTCTGTTGACGTCTAGTGACGGTTAGATGTCTGTTGACGTCTAGTGACGGTAAGATGTCTGTTGACGTCTAGTGACGGTAAGATGTCTGTTGACGTCTAGTGACGGTAAGATGTCTGTTGACGTCTAGTGACGGTTAGATGTCTGTTGACGTTAGTGACGGTAAGATGTTGTTGACGTCTAGTGACGGTAAGATGTCTGTTGACGTCTAGTGACGGTAAGATTCTGTTGACGTCTAGTGACGGTTAAGATGTCTGTTGACGTCTAGTGACGGTAGATGTCTGTTGACGTCTAGTGACGGTAGATGTCTGTTGACGTCTAGTGACGGTAAGATGTCTGTTACGTCTTGTGACGGTTAGATGTCTTAGTTTGACGTTGCTTAGTGACGGTAAGATATCTGTTGACGTCTAGTGACGGTAAGATGTTGTTGACGTCTAGTGACGGTAAGATGTTGTTGACGTCTAGTGACGGTAAGATGTCTGTTGACGTCTAGTGACGGTAAGATGTCTGTTGACGTCTAGTGACGGTAAGATGTCTGTTGACGTCTAGTGACGGTAGATGTATGTTGACGTTAGTGACGGTAAGATGTCTGTTGACGTCTAGTGACGGTAAGATGTTGTTGACGTCTAGTGACGGTAAGATGTCTGTTGACGTCTAGTGACGGTAAGATGTCTGTTGACGTCTAGTGACGGTAAGATGTCTGTTGACGTCTAGTGACGGTAAGATGTCTGTTGACGTCTAGTGACGGTTAGATGTCTGTTGACGTCTAGTGACGGTAAGATATCTGTTCACGTCTTGTGACGGTTAGATGTCTGTTGACGTTTAGTGACGGTAAGATATCTGTTGACGTCTAGTGACGGTAAGATGTCTGTTGACGTCTAGTGACGGTAAGATGTCTGTTGACGTCTAGTGACGGTAAGATATCTGTTCACGTCTAGTGACGGTTAGATGTCTGTTGACGTCTAGTGACGGTAAGATGTCTGTTGACGTCTAGTGACGGTAAGATGTCTGTTGACGTCTAGTGACGGTAAGATATCTGTTCACGTCTAGTGACGGTAGATGTCTGTTGACGTCTAGTGACGGTAAGATGTCTGTTGACGTCTAGTGACGGTAAGATGTCTGTTGACGTCTAGTGACGGTAAGATATCTGTTCACGTCTAGTGACGGTTAGATGTCTGTTGACGTCTAGTGACGGTAAGATGTCTGTTGACGTCTAGTGACGGTAAGATATCTGTTGACGTCTAGTGACGGTAAGATGTCTGTTGACGTCTAGTGACGGTAAGATATCTGTTCACGTCTAGTGACGGTTAGATGTCTGTTGACGTCTAGTGACGGTAAGATGTCTGTTGACGTCTAGTGACGGTAAGATGTCTGTTGACGTCTAGTGACGGTAAGATGTCTGTTGACGTCTAGTGACGGTAAGATATCTGTTGACGTCTAGTGACGGTAAGATGTCTGTTGACGTCTAGTGACGGTAAGATATCTGTTCACGTCTTAGTGACGGTTAGAATGTCCTGTTGACGTCTAGTGACGGTAAGATGTCTGTTGACGTCTAGTGAACGGTAAGAATGTCTGTGACGTTAGTGAGGTAAGAATAATCTGTCTACGGCATGACGTAAGAGTGTCTTCGGACGCCTAGGACGGTAAAGATGTCTTAGTTGACGTCAAGTGTGCGGAAGAATCTGTTGACGTCTGTGCGGAAGATATCTGTTGAGTCCTAGTCACGGTAGATGTCTGTTGACTGTCTAGTCGGTAAGAACGTTGACGTTAGTGCGTAAGGTCTCGTTGACAGTCTATGAACAAGTATCTGCTTGACGATCTAGTGACCGTTCAATGCTGTTCGTCTAGTGGGTAAATATCTGTTCACGTCTAGTGCGGTAGATGTCCTGTTGCGTTTAGTCAACGTAAAGATACTGTTGAGTCTGTGCGGTAAGATGTCTGTTGACGATCAATGACGGAAATCTTTGAGTCTAGTGAAGGTAAATATCTTACGTATGATGTAACAGTCAATAGGCCTAGCCATTAACAGCCAGTCTTGAAGACAGCCAGGGTCTTGAGCAGCAGGGCAGCAGCCATCTGAAGACACAGGGTGAGACAGCCAGGGGCTTGAAGACAGCCAGGGTCTTGATGAGCTCATGGTGTCTAAGAATCCCCTTACGATGCTGTAAAGGCATCTGAACAGTCTTGGGCCCGGACACTAATTCGTCTCGACATAGATCTGGTTGACTCTCTGTTAGACCAAGTAGGTCTCGGCAGGCCTAGCATCAACAAATATCTGTAGATTTACCATTCCCAAGCTTAGGTCGCTTGATTTCTGGTGGCACGTGGGAGCCTGTATCCCACATAATCACTGATTAGGTTGTCGCAACAGTGTGTACGATCCCGGATAGCAAGAAGATGGAAGTTACATGTTTATCACTCATATAGGCGCATCCTACCATCAAGTTATGCTGATGTTTGTTGCAGACCAGCATCCAGAAACACAGTAGAGCCTATTCATGACACCAACAGTTGAACCTGGAAATCTTACAGTGTAAACCTACCTCCATGGCGTTCCAGTCAGGTGCCAGCACCGTACTCTGCTGTTTCAGTCAATCGCTACCGTTACACATGACAGAGATAGTTTGGTGTGTTTTTCATCCAAGGTGGTCGGAATTCTCATTGGTTTCACGTGGGTGGGGTAGATTTCCACACTACCCACAGTTTTTACAATCCATATCCCATCATCTATGCTATCTCTTTGCACTGAAGAGCTGTGTATCCCAGTGCCAGCTAGAAGCCCAACCACAGCCATGGAAGACCTAAGGGTGCTTCATGGTGCTTCCCCTGGCTGCCAAGCCAGGGGAAGCACCAGAGTCTGGTGCTTCCAGGTTGCACAAGAGTTTGGTGCTTCCAGGTTGCACCAGAGTCTGGTGCTTCCAGGTTGCACCAGAGTCTGGTGCTTCCAGGTTGCACAAGAGTCTGGTGCTTCCAGGTTGCACAAGAGTCTGGTGCTTCCAGGTTGCACAAGAGTCTGGTGCTTCCAGGTTGCACAAGAGTCTGGTGCCTCCAGGTTGCACAAGAGTCTGGTGCTTCCAGGTTGCATCAAAGTCTGGTGCTTCCAGGTTGCACAAGAGTCTGGTGCTTCCAGGTTGCACAAGAATCTGGTGCTTCCAGGTTGCACAAGAGTTTGGTGCTTCCAGGTTGCCCAAGAGTCTAGTGCTTCCAGGTTGCACAAGAGTCTGGTGCTTCCAGGTTGCACAAGAGTCTGGTGCTTCCAGGTTGCACAAGAGTCTGGTGCTTCCAGGTGCACAAGATCTGGTGCTTCCAGGTTGCACAAGAGTCTGATGCTTCCAGGTTACACAAGAGTCTGGTGCTTCCAGGTTACACCAGAGTCTGGTGCTTCCACGTTGCACCAGAGTCTGGTGCTTCCAGATTGCACCAGAGTGTGGTGCTGCCAGGTTGTCTGGTGACCAGACAACCTGGCAGAAGCAAGTCGAGCCTCCTTCAACTCTCTCCTCAGATCTAGGCTACCAGACCTAGAACTACCAGACCTAGGCCTACCAGACCTAGGCCTACCAGACCTAGGCCTACCAGACCTACCATACAACACACTCTTCTGTACTTTTAGAACAATAAACCTAGAATTCGCCTCCGATGAGCTATCATTTATCCACAAGATATATATCATCTGAAGGACTAAGATCACAGTAAGCAGATATCACAATATGCAAAACAACCACTGTAAAAAACAGTGAAATTCCAAGAGCTTTCGAGACTTCTCACATTTTTCACAGTAGTTGTTCTCCACATCATTTGAAATAAATATTATAATCCACAGATAAACAGGATAACCCCTTTGATGGGCAGGATAACCCCAGATAGACAGGATAGCCCAACAGCAACAGCCTGGTTGATCAGACCCTGGTCCACCATGAGGCCTGGTCTCAGACCGGGCCGCGGGGGCGTTGACCCCCAAACCCTCTCCAGGTATACTCCAGGTATGGTAGACAGGATAACCCCAGACAGATAGGATAGCCCCATGATAGATAGCATAACCCCAGATAGGATAACCCCATGATACAGGTATTACGAACATAGGAAATGAATGGTCTGTGAGACCTGATCGTAATGGAATTTGGAACAAATAAACTCAGCAGTAGACTATAATGTATATTTTGCCTTCACCCACTATATACAGATATGTACACTATGTACAATATGTACAGACAGAATAATAAGTGTACACCAAGGTGACATATAGCAAAGCAGAAGCCAGAGAGAGTGCACTGTGCTCAACCAGCAGGTAGGCAAGTCTGCCAATGCTTGCCACAAGTGAACCACATTGTTTCAGCTTTGGCAAGCTTGCCTGTGATTGGTCAGTGAACCAATAATGGGTACCCTATTGATCGTTAAACCCTTAGCACCCGGTTCGCTGGTTGGGAGGCAACCTATAACGGGGTGTGACATACTCTGAATAAATTGTGACATACTCTTTGCATGAAACAGGCAGGATAACCCAAGATAGACAGGATAACCCCAGATAGACAGGATAACCCCAGATAAACAGGATAACCCCAGAAGACTCACTTGAAGTCATCACGTAGATAATAGGTGTGGTAACAGATGATATTTAGGTGTCCCACAGTTTGATCGCCTACCAGTGACTATGCTCTCGTCTGCTTCCCGTCCTTATCCACTGACGCCTATTTAAGCACCAGTCTCCTTGCTTGTGCTCCAGAATCTCTTCAACTACGGTGCTCTATACACCAACTCCAAAGCTGAGGGATTGATATAAAGCCACTAGTTGGCGAAACGTCTACAATTAAAGATACCCAGATGTCGCACATGTGTCTAATTTTCATTATCATTATTATTGGTTAAATAAAGGAGAGAGGGTTCAGTACGGCGGTGGTTGACAGAGGCCCTATTATTATTATTGGTTAAATAAAGGAGAGAGGGTTCAGTACGGCGGTGGTTGACAGTTAGTTTAATATGTTTATTATGCACCCCATACCCATCCTGTGGGCGGTAGTCAAAAGATTACAGAGGTACATAATTGGTCCAGGGACTGGACTCCAAAGTTTTGATAGCTGAGCAAGTTACAGAGGTAATGAACTCACAATTTACAAAGGTAATGAACTCACAATTTACAAAGGTAATGAACTCACAATTTACAAAGGTAATGAACTCCAGGTAAGTCTGGTCACAATCATGACAAGTTACAAAGGTATTTACAGATTACAGAGGTACGTAATGGGTCCAGGGACTGGGCCCCCAAATTTTTGATAGCTGAACTAGGTACAAAGGTAATGAGCTCACAAGTTACAAAGGTAATGAATTCTGTAGAATGGTTACTTACGTTTATACTTTGGCTACAATCATGAACAAATTATAGAGTAATGAGCAATTCACACTTCCACACCGGTCACAACTGAATGAGTTATTGGTGCAAATATTGATTGTTGAGTCACACACACACACACACACACACACACACACACACACACACACCACACACACACACACACACACACACACACAACACAACACACACATACACACACACACACACACTTTAGTTTAATATCTTTATGCACCCCATACCCATCCTGTGGGCGGTAGTCAAAAGATTACAAAGGTACATAATGGGTCCAGTGACTGGACCCCAAAGTTATGATAGCTGAACTAGTTACAAAGGTAATGAACTCCAGGTAGATCTGGTGGTTGACAGAGGCCCTATTATTATTATTGGTTAAATAAAGAAGAGAGGGTTCAGTACGGCGGTGGTTGACAGAGGCCCTATTTTTATTATTGGTTAAATAAAGGAAAGAGGGTTCAGTACGGCGGTGGTTGACAGAGGCCCTATTATTATTATTGGTTAAATAAAGGTAAGAGGGTTCAGTACGGCGGTGGTTGACAGAGGCCCTATTATTATTATTGGTTAAATAAAGGTAAGAGGGTTCAGTACGGCGGTGGTTGACAGAGGCCCTATATACCAACAACAACAACAATAACAAGGAGAGGTGGGTCTTGTTACTGCAGGCAGAGTTCTTGATCCAAGGAGCTTGAGCTGCCCACTCACCCATACCCACTTCGTTAGATCAAGCCTAATAAACCTGCTGCTTCCCTACCAAGTGGTGGGTGTCCCCCGTGCGGATTTAGTGCTCCTGTGTGTGTGTGTGAGCTTAGTCACGTAATTTGTTTTTTCTCTTAATCTGGGTTTAAGGTAAACCTTTATCATGAGCTTAAGTTTTGTAAAGCTTGATCCAAGGATCAGGAGATATAGAAGGTGTGATAGTGTAGCTTTTGAGCTTCAGGAGTGTTGAGCTCCGACTGTGAGTTCTTGGTCCAAGGCAGTGGCGCAGGTACTCCCTATCCTCGGATCAAACCTGAGTGCTTCCCATCACCCCGGGCAGCAAATAATCTTCCCCATGGGTTTAGCGCTCCTGCGAATGGTGTAATAAGAACATAAGAACATAAGAATGAAGGAACACTGCAGAAGGCCTACTGGCCCATGTGAGGCAGGTCCAAGTCTCCTACTGGCTTAAGCCAATGCACCCAACCTAGTCAGGTCAGGTCACATTGACTTAAGGGAGGAACACGGCAACCGACCTGGTAGCCCAAGCTATCAGGTCCAACTCACACCCACCCACATCTACTCATGTATTTATCCAACCTATTTTTAAAGCTACACAACGTTCTGGCCTCTATAACGGTACTTGGGAGTTTGTTCCACTCATCCACAACTCTATTACCAAACCAGTGCTTTCCTATATCCTTCCTGAATCTGAATTTTTCCAACTTAAAACCATTGCTGCGAGTCCTGTCTTGGCTAGATATTTTCAGCACACTATTTACATCCCCTTTATTTATTCCTGTCTTCCATTTATACACCTCAATCATATCCCCCCTAATTCTACGTCTTTCTAGAGAGTGCAGATTCAGGGCCCTTAGTCTATCCTCATAGGGAAGGTTTCTGATACATGGGATCATCTTTGTCATCCTCCTTTGTACATTTTCCAGAGCATTTATATCCATTCTGTAATACGGTGACCAGAACTGAGCAGCATAGTCTGAGGCCTAACCAAGGATATATAGAGTTGAAGAACAACCTGAGGACTCCTATTATTTATGCTTCTTGATATGAAGCCAAGGATTCTATTAGCTTTATTGCGAACACTTATGCACTGTTGTCTTGGTTTCAGATTACTGCTAACCAGAACTCCTAAATCTTTTTCGCAATCTATAATATTAAGATCTACATTATTTAGTCTATATGTGGCATGGTTATTGTCCTGTCCAACATTTAGAACTTTGCATTTGTCTATATTAAACTGCATCTGCCACTTCTCCGACCACTGCATCAGTCTATTTAAATCTTCCTGGAGTGCTCTAATGTCCTCGTCAGAATGAATTCGATGGCCTATTTTGGTGTCATCGGCAAACTTGCTGATGTCGCTCTTTATGCCCTCATCTATGTCGTTTATGTAGATTGTGAACAGCAGGGGGCCCAACACTGACCCCTGTGGAACACCACTCATGACGCTTCCCCACTCTGATTTCTCCCCATTGATGCAAACTCTCTGCTGCCTATCTGTCAACGACGCCTCTACCCAGGAAAAAATTTCTCCTCCTATTCCATGTGCCTTAATTTTCCTCAATAGCCTCTGATGTGGAACCTTGTCAAAAGCCTTATTGAAGTCCATATACACAATATCATATTCATTACCATGATCTACCTCCTCAAATACCTTAGTGAAAAAAGTTAATAAATTCCTAAGGCAGGAACGCCCCTTTGTAAAACCATGCTGAGATTCGTTGATTAATTTATGCTTTTCAAGGTGGTTACGAACTGCCTCGGCAATTATTGATTCCATAAATTTTCCCACTGTGGAGGTAAGGCTTATTGGTCTGTAGTTCGAAGCTAAGGACCTGTCACCTGTTTTGAAAATAGGTATCACATTTGCCGTTTTCCACTTATCTGGCACCATGCCAGTTTGTAGTGATATGTTGAAAAGATTAGCCAAAGGTTTGCTAAGCTCCTCTTTACATTCCTTTAGAACCCTTGCATACAGTTCATCAGGGCCTGGGGATTTGTTAGGTTTTAATTTATCTATTTGCCTAAGGGCCATGTCACTTGTGACCCTAATTGTGCACAGTTTATTATCGTCCTGTTCTACATAATTTATCATTTCTAGAATATCGCTGGTATCTTCCTGTGTAAAAACTGATAGGAAGTATGTGTTAAAAATTCTACTCATTTCCTTATCACTGTTAGTGAGCTGACCCGAGGAACTTTTGAGTGGGCCTATCTTGTCCCTGATCTTACTTCTGTATACCTGAAAGAATCCTTTTGGGTTAGTCTTCGATTCTCTTGCAACTTTAACCTCATAATCTCTTTTTGCTTTTCTAATTCCCTTTTTTATTTCTCTCTTTAACTGAATATATCGATTTCTTAATTACACCTCTCCTCTTTTGATTTGCCTATATATGCCTCTCTTTTGACCAGTTAGATATTTTAATCTATTGTTCATCCATTTAGGATCATTTTTGTTTGATCTGATTTCCCTCTTTGGAACATAATTTGACTGAGCAGCTAGAACTATGCCCTGGAAAACATCATATCGGCAACCATCACCACCTACCTGACCCTTAGTCAGGTCATTCCAGTTCAGCCCACCTAAGTAATTTTTCAGTCCTATGAAATCAGCCAAGCAGAAGTCAGGGACAGAGACTTGATTGCTCTTGATCCAAGGAACTAGATGATTTCTCTCTCCTCGAATCGGCAGTTGTGTGAGCCATACAGGTTTAGCACTCCGGTCTTCTAAATACAACTTGGTACAATTTATTATAAAGTCTGCTGCATTAATGTATCAGTCAATATTGACTTTATCCCCAGGGCAGAAACTTCTTAATGTTTTACATCGTAAATAAACCGCGTGGGTTTTATTCCCTCAGGAAAAAATTTATTTGTTGTGCTTGGTCTTTGTTAGTGTAATAATGGATAAAAAACATATTATTTATTATGGAAATTGTTTTTTTTTAAGTTGCGCATCAGAAATAGGAAGCAATGTTTTGATGAGTAAATTTATAAGCAGAACCCAACCCAGCCTAACCCAACCCAGCCTAACCCAACTCAACCCAGACTAACCCAACCCAGCCTAACCCAACTCAACCCAGACTAACCAACCCAGCCTAACCCAACTCAACCCAGACTAACCCAACCCAGCCTAACCCAACTCAACCCAGACTAACCCAACCCAGCCTAACCCAACTCAACCCAGACTAACCAACCCAGCCTAACCCAACTCAACCCAGACTAACCAACCCAGCCTAACCCAACTCAACCCAGACTAACCAACCCAGCCTAACCCAACTCAACCCAGACTAACCAACCCAGCCTAACCCAACTCAACCCAGCCTAACCAACCCAGCCTAACCCAACTCAACCCAGACTAACCAACCCAGCCCAACCCAACTCAACCCAGCCTAACCCAACTCAACCCAGCCTAACCAACCCAGCCTAACCCACCTCAAACCAGACTAACCAACCCAGCCTAACCCAACTCAACCCAGACTAACCAACCCAGCCTAACCCAACTCAACCCAGCCTAACCAACCCAGCCTAACCAACCCAGCCTAACCCAACTCAACCCAGACTAACCAACCCAGCCTAACCCAACTCAACCCAGCCTAACCAACCCAGCCTAACCCAACTCAACCCAGACTAACCAACCCAGCCTAACCCAACTCAACGCAGCCTAACCAACCCAGCCTAACCCAACTCAACCCAGCCTAACCAACCCAGCCTAACCCACCTCAAACCAGACTAACCCAACCCAGCCTAACCCAACTCAACCCAGACTAACCAACCCAGCCTAACCCAACTCAACCCAGCCTAACCAACCCAGCCTAACCAACCCAGCCTAACCCAACTCAACCCAGACTAACCAACCCAGCCTAACCCAACTCAACCCAGCCTAACCAACCCAGCCTAACCCAACTCAACCCAGACTAACCAACCCAGCCTAACCCAACTCAACGCAGCCTAACCAACCCAGCCTAACCCAACTCAACCCAGACTAACCAACCCAGCCTAACCCAACTCAACCCAGACTAACCAACCCAGCCTAACCCAACTCAACCCAGACTAACCAACCCAGCCTAACCCAACTCAACCCAGACTAACCAACCCAGCCTAACCCAACTCAGCGCAGCCTAACCAACCCAGCCTAACCCAACTCAACCCAGACTAACCAACCCAGCCTAACCCAACTCAACCCAGACTAACCAACCCCAGCCTAACCCCCCTCAACCCAGACTTACCAACCCAGCCTAACCCAACTCAACCCAGACTAACCAACCCAGCCTAACCCAACTCAACCCAGCCTAACCAACCCAGCCTAACCCAACTCAACCCAGACTAACCAACCCAGCCTAACCCAACTCAACCCAGCCTAACCAACCCAGACCAACCAACCCAGCCTAACCCAACTCAACCCAGCCTAACCAACCCAGCCTAACCCAACTCAACCCAGACTAACCAACCCAGCCTAACCCAACTCAACCCAGACTAACCAACCCAGCCTAACCCAACTCAACCCAGCCTAACCAACCCAGCCTAACCCAACTCAACCCAGACTAACCAACCCAGCCTAACCCAACTCAACCCAGACTAGCCAACCCAGCCTAACCCAACTCAACCCAGACTAGCCAACCCAGCCTAACCCAACTCAACCCAGACTAGCCAACCCAGCCTAACCCAGCTCAGGTTAATCCAACCCATCCTAACTCAACCCAGCCAAACCAACCCAACCTAACCCAGCTCAGGTTAATCCAACCCAGCCTAACCCAACCCAGCCTAACCAAGCTAACCCAACCTAACCCAGCCCAACCCAACCTAACCCAGCCCAACCCAACTCAACCCAACCTAACCCAACCCAACCCAACCCAACCCAACCTAACTCAACCCAACTCAGTCTAACCAAACCCAGCCTAACCCAGGCTAATCCAACCCAGCCTAACCCAACCCAACCTGACCCAACCCAACCTAACCCAACCCAGCCTAACCCAAACCAGCCTAACCCAACCTAACCCAGCCCAACCTAACCCAACCCAACTCAACTCAACCTAACCCAAACTAACCCAACCCAGCCTAACCCAACCTAATGCAACCCAACCCAACCCAGCCTAACCCAAACCAACCCAGCCTAACCCAACCCAGCCTAAACCAACCCAGCCTAAACCAACCCAATCTAACCCAACCCAGCCTAACCAGCCCAACCCAACCTAACCCAGACTAATCCAATCCAGCCTAACCCAACCCACCCTAGCCCAACCCACCCTAACCCAACAAAGCTTAACCCGATCCAACTAAACCTGTAACAGCCCAACCCAACCTGTCCCAACTAAACCTGACATAACCCAACTCAACCTGTCCCACCTGAACCTAACCTATCCTGTCCCAACTGAACCTAACATAACTCAACTGAACCTGACCTAACCAAACCATTGTTATTATACTTATAATTGTAATTAACTACACAAGAAATCCTACTTAAGAGTCTATGCCTAAATATGTAACAGTGAAATATTAGAATTAGCCTACGTGTCTTTCTAAACCAGAATTAGCCTGCCTGACACCCACTGCATAATTAGTAGCTTTATTTTTGTGCATAAAAATGTTTTATTAAATGTAAAATGCATTATTTTGTACCAAATAAAGAAATAAAAATTGTATTGTATTTTATAAAAACCTGAAAGGTTGTTAACAGTTGGCACCGGCTTGCTGCGTTGATCAGTTGTAATATTAACCCTTTATATCTTTTATGGTGATGTAAGATAAGTCTTGTATTGTTCTTGGCAGAAAGGTTGTTATCTAAGGTTCTGTTAACAGGTAGAACAATGACTCTCCCTGTTGTATATTGCTGTGTTAGTCATCTCTGCCTTTGGTACTGTATAAAGTTTTAAGTTAATCAAAGTCTTCAGTATCATACACAAACCAAAAACAGAAAGATTTTTTTTTTTTTCACATTTTTCTAACACTTGCCTATTAATATTTCAGTTATGAACGATGACAATAACAGTGAGAGCAGAACACGTATACCACGAGCCAGTGGAGTTGGTGGCTGCTACACATCTCACCAAATTTCCAAATGAGTACGACAGTAATATTATTTCTTGTTGTGTCATAGAGAGGAAAAGAGAGAGTGATGGATGCACGTACACGAAGAGAGTGGCTGCTGTTCGTAATGTTTTGCCATCGCTGTTAAGGAAGGTACGTCCTGTACTGTCGGTGTTCGTGGCATGCTGTACTCTGTAATGAAAACTTCACTAGTATTTTGAGTGAAGAATATTGTTTTTTGTAATAAATAATGGACTTGTAATATCCTCCCCTCATCCCATCTTTTATTTTTATTATGTTGATTGTTTACATTTAGTAAGGTGACCTGAAAATTACTCAAATGATGTACATTATAGTACAATAAAACTGGTAACTTATAACATCCTAACTCATCCTTTAGAGTACAAAGTCATTTTTCCCTGAGTACACCTTAAGTGTACTTGGTAACATTGGTAACACAATTATAAATTTGTCAAAATACATCTACCATCCGACTTACGACCGAGTTCGGTTCCGAGAAACCGGTCGTAAATCGAAATGGTCGTAAGTCGAACTTTACTACTGAATATCAACATCACATTTTTGTAATGACTTTATTTTATTGTTTTATTTTGGTATTTCATGTTTTACTTTACTTTTTATGTTGTTAGTACTGTATTTTATACTGTAAGGTTTAGGATAAACACTGTGTAAACACAAATAGCTGTTAATTTCCCAGAAATTTGGCATAAAAAACATGGTCGTAAGTCGAGTGGTCGTAAGTCGAGCAGGTCGTAAGTCGGATGGTAGGTGTATTCATAATTTGTTACTTTGTGACTCATACATGTTGTGTACGTGTTCAGTATTAGAAACTGCATCTCTTCTCCTTATCCTTGCATCATGCTTAATTTTTTTCCTGCGTCATGAAATTGTAATAACACAGAACAAATGCAGGAACAAGTGCGACTTGAACCCCTGGTAAGTAAGTGATAAAACTCACAGGCCAGTGCATTAACTATACCAGCTGCCTCTAATAAGAGATTCATACAACAAGGTATATTTCTATATACCATAGGAAGGTTAGCATGAGCCGCCACTGTGACCACAAATGCAGGTTTTTTGCAGATGAATCCTACACCAGCATGATTGTGTCATGCTCCCTATGGTGTATAGAAATACACCTAGATGTATGAATTTTATTAGAGCCAGCAGGTACAGTTCTTAACACACTTGCTGTACATTAACATCTCCATTCAAGGCAGGTGAATTGCAAATCTAGAGAATGTAAAAAGAACCTTTATTGTACATATAAGTTCCATCAAACACCTTAACTACTGGGAACCCTTGAAAGCACTTGACTTGTACTCGCTGGACTGCAGGTGAGAGAGATACATCATAATCTATGTCTGGAAAATCCTAGAGAGACTGATCCCTAATCTGCACACAGAAATCACTCCCTATAAAAGCAAAAGACTTGGCAGGTGATGCAATATACCCCCAATGAAAAGTAGGGGTGCCATTAGTACAATAAGAGAAAACACAGTAAGTGTCCAGGGCCCAAGACTGTTCAACAGCCTCCCACCAGCCATAATGGGAATTACCAATAGACCCCTGGTTGTCTTCAAGAGGGAGCTGGGCAGATACCTAAAGTCAGTGCCGGATCACCTGGGCTGTGGTTCATATGTTGGTCTACATATGGCCACCAGTAACAGCCTGGTTGATCAGGCCCTGATCCACTGGGAGGCCTGGTCATGGAGCGGGCTGCAGGGGTGTTGATCCCCAGAATGCCCTCCAGGTAGACCATGGGTTCAATCCCCATTCAGTCCATGATTTGATTAATTTCTTCCTAAGTAAATAAGTTTATTTAGGTAGAGGTACACATAAGTATAATTATCATAAATAGTGACGTGTAAATAACCCACCAGGATAACACTAAGAGGTCAAAGTGATGTATTTCTGTTACATATTGTATAATACAGTAATACGACATAAGCAACATTGCTGTAATTGTCCAGGTTGAAACATTGCAAGTGGAACATTTTGAGCTGGAGGAAGAGTGTTGGTGGAACACAAAGTTGAGGAAATTGATGGTTAAGTCTCACAATCTTTCTGTCTCCAACTGGATCACCATGAGAGAAGCTTCTGTCTTCACACCACATCAACACAACCCCAACTGGTGAGCGCATCTTACGACAGTATAGGATCTTACGACTGTGAGATCTTATGACAGTGAGGGATCTTACGAGTGTGAGATCTTATGACAGTGTGGGATCTTACGAGTGTAAGATCTTACGACAGTGTGGGATCTTATGAGTGTGAGATCTTACGGCTGTGTGGGATCTTACGAGTGTGAGATCTTATGACAGTGGGAATTTACGAGTGTGAGATCTAATGACAGTGTGAGATCTTAAAATGGTGTGGGTTCTTACGACGGTGTGAGATCTTATGACAGTGTGAGATCTTACAACATTTTGTAGGACCCAGTTACTTGCTTGTCACTGTGCTCCTGGGTGTTGTATGGTCAGTGTCAGTCTGTTACTGTCACTTCCCTCCTGGGTGTTGTATGGTCAGTGTCAGTCTGTTACTGTCACTTCCCTCCTGGGTGTTGTATGGTCAGTGTCAGTCTGTTACTGTCACTTCCCTCCTGGGTGTTGTATGGTCAGTGTCAGTCTGTTACTGTCACTTCCCTCCTGGGTGTTGTATGGTCAGTGTCAGTCTGTTACTGTCACTTCCCTCCTGGTGTTGTATGGTCAGTGTCAGTCTGTTACTGTCACTTCCCTCCTGGGTGTTGTATGGTCAGTGTCAGTCTGTTACTGTCACTTCCCTCCTGGGTGTTGTATGGTCAGTGTCCAGTCTGTTACTGTCATTCCCTCCTGGTGTTGTATGGTCAGTGTCAGTTCTGTTACTGTCACTTCCCTCCTGGGTGTTGTATGGCAGTGTCAGTCTGTTACTGTCACTTCCCTCCTGGGTGTTTTATGGTCAGTGTCAGTCTGTTACTGTCACTTCCCTCGGGTGTTGTATGGTCAGTGTCAGTCTGTTACTGTCACTCCCTCCTGGTGTTGTATGGTCAGTGTCGTCTGTTACTGTCACTTCCTCCTGGTGTTGTATGGTCAGTGTCATCTGTTACTGTCACTCCCTCCTGGGTGTTGTATGGTCAGTGTCAGTCTGTTACTGTCACTTCCCTCCTGGGTGTTGTATGGTCAGTGTCAGTCTGTTACTGTCCACTTCCCTCCTGGGTGTTGTATGTCCATGTCAGTCTGTTACTGTCACTTCCCTCCTGGTGTTGTATGGTCAGTGTCAGTCTGTTACTGTCACTTCCCCCTGGGGTTGTATGGTCAGTGTCAGTCTGTTACTGTCACTTCCCTCCGGTTGTTGTATGTCAGTGTCAGTCTTTTACTGTCACTTCCCCTGGGGTGTTGTATGGTCAGTGTCAGTCTGTTACGTCACTTCCCTCCTGGTGTTGTATGGTCAGTGTCAGTCTGTTTACTGTCACTTCCCTCCTGGGGGGTTGTATGGTCAGTGTCAGTCTTTTAACTGTCACTTCCCTCCTGGGTGTTGTATGGTCAGTGTCAGTCTGTTACTGTCACTTCCTCCTGGTGTTGTATGGTCAGTGTCAGTCTGTTACTGTCACTTCCCTCCTGGGTGTTGTATGGTCAGTGTCAGTCTGTACTGTCATTCCCTCCTGGGTGTTGTATGGTCAGTGTCAGTCTGTTACTGTCACTTCCCTCCTGGGTGTTGTATGGTCAGTGTCAGTCTGTTTACTGTCACTTCCCTCCTGGGTGTTGTATGGTCAGTGTCAGTCTGTTACTGTCACTTCCCTCCTGGGTGTTGTATGGTCAGTGTCAGTCTGTTATTGTCACTTCCCTCCTGGGTGTTGTATGGTCAGTGTCAGTCTGTTACTGTCACTTCCCTCCTGGGTGTTGTATGGTCAGTGTCAGTCTGTTACTGTCACTTCCCTCCTGGGTGTTGTATGGTCAGTGTCAGTCTGTTACTGTCACTTCCCTCCTGGGTGTTGTATGGTCAGTGTCAGTCTGTTACTGTCACTTCCCTCCTGGGTGTTGTATGGTCAGTGTCAGTCTGTTACTGTCACTTCCCTCCTGGGTGTTGTATGGTCAGTGTCAGTCTGTTACTGTCACTTCCCTCCTGGGTGTTGTATGGTCATGTCAGTCTGTTACTGTCACTTCCCTCCTGGGTGTTGTATGGTCAGTGTCAGTCTGTTACTGTCACTTCCCTCCTGGGTGTTGTATGGTCAGTGTCAGTCTGTTACTGTCACTTCCCTCCTGGGTGTTGTATGGTCAGTGTCAGTCTGTTACTGTCACTTCCCTCCTGGGTGTTGTATGGTCAGTGTCAGTCTGTTACTGTCACTTCCCTCCTGGGTGTTGTATGGTCAGTGTCAGTCTGTTACTGTCACTTCCCTCCTGGGTGTTGTATGGTCAGTGTCAGTCTGTTACTGTCACTTCCCTCCTGGGTGTTGTATGGTCAGTGTCAGTCTGTTACTGTCACTTCCCTCCTGGGTGTTGTATGGTCAGTGTCAGTCTGTTACTGTCACTTCCCTCCTGGTTGTTGTATGGTCAGTGTCAGTCTGTTACTGTCACTTCCCTCCTGGGTGTTGTATGGTCAGTGTCAGTCTGTTACTGTCACTTCCCTCCTGGGTGTTGTATGGTCAGTGTCAGTCTGTTACTGTCACTTCCCTCCTGGGTGTTGTATGGTCAGTGTCAGTCTGTTACTGTCACTTCCCTCCTGGGTGTTGTATGGTCAGTGTCAGTCTGTTACTGTCACTTCCCTCCTGGGTGTTGTATGGTCAGTGTCAGTCTGTTACTGTCACTTCCCTCCTGGGTGTTGTATGGTCAGTGTCAGTCTGTTACTGTCACTTCCCTCCTGGGTGTTGTATGGTCAGTGTCAGTCTGTTACTGTCACTTCCCTCCTGGGTGTTGTATGGTCAGTGTCAGTCTGTTACTGTCACTTCCCTCCTGGGTGTTGTATGGTCAGTGTCAGTCTGTTACAGTCACTTCCCTCCTGGGTGTTGTATGGTCAGTGTCAGTCTGTTACTGTCACTTCCCTCCTGGGTGTTGTATGGTCATTGTCAGTCTGTTACTGTCACTTCCCTCCTGGGTGTTGTATGGTCAGTGTCAGTCTGTTACTGTCACTTCCCTCCTGGGTGTTGTATGGTCAGTGTCAGTCTGTTACTGTCACTTCCCTCCTGGGTGTTGTATGGTCAGTGTCAGTCTGTTACTGTCACTTCCCTCCTGGGTGTTGTATGGTCAGTGTCAGTCTGTTACTGTCACTTCCCTCCTGGGTGTTGTATGGTCAGTGTCAGTCTGTTACTGTCACTTCCCTCCTGGGTGTTGTATGGTCAGTGTCAGTCTGTTACTGTCACTTCCCTCCTGGGTGTTAGTTGGTAAATAAATGCTAATTAAGTAAATAAATAACTCTTTCTTTCTTTCAACACACCGGCCGTATCCCACCGAGGCGGGGTGGCCCAAAAGGAAAAACGAAAGTTTCTCCTTTTACATTTAGTAATATATACAGGAGAAGAGGTTACTAGCCCCTTGCTCCTGGCATTTTAGTCGCCTCTTACAACACGCATGGCTTACGGAGGAAGAATTCTGTTCCACTTCCCCATGGAGAAAATAAATAACTGCTGTCAGTAAATAAGCAAGTAGACAAATAATTACTGTAAGTAACTAAATACCAGTATTGGAAAGTAAATAAATGAATATAAATTAGGGACTTGCTGCCTTTATACTGGGGTAATTATCTCAAATTTCATCTCCAAAGTAACTGTTTTTGCACCATCGTAGGTCAAAATATTGTAAATCAAGAAGCACCTGTATTCACATTTAACTCACGTTATACAGTGGACCCCCGCATAACGATTACCTCCAAATGTGACCAGTTATGTAAGTGTATTTATGTAAGTGCGTTTGTACGTGTATGTTTGGCAGTCTGAAATGGACTAATCTACTTCACAATATTTCTTATGGGAACAAATACGGTCAGTACTGGCACCTGAACATACTTCTGGAGTGAAAAAATATCGTTAACCGGGGGTCCACTGTATTTGACTTATGACGGGTTCTTAGGAATGTAACCCCACTGTACGTCAAGGAGCACCTGCTGAAATAGCATCGACTTTTTTGCAGGACACATTTCGAGCAAGAAGGCACCGTCACCGTCCATGGTCTTGGTAAACTGGGCTACCTTATTGAAGTCTTCAGCAAGAGGTGATGTATTGTTTATGTATTTGTAAGTTAATATAGTTTGCCTCTTTGAGCAAAGATATTGTTTCATGTCATTAGCTGTTAAGACTAGTCTGTTATTTTATATATTTTAAGGCATGCTTGGTTCTGTTTAAAGATATTGATAGTTTTATACTAAAGTGTAACTAGTTTTATACTAAGTCATCATTAATTCTATCCTAACATAACATTACTTGTATCAAAATGTGTCTAGTTCTATCTAAATGTGTCTAATTCTATCTAAATTTGTCAATAACTCCTTGCTAAGCTGTCAGCAGTTCTATCTATTCTAACAACTTTTCAGACAAGGAGTGACAAGTTACATCTTTTAGGATCATTTTATGCAGTGAAAAATTTGCATATCGCGTTCTGTAGTTACCTTCAAGACTAAGACACATGTGCAACACCTGTTTTTTTTTACGAATAATACACATGTGCAACAAATAGGTGTCTTTATTGATGAATAAGACATGTACAACACCTGGGTGTCTTCATTGATGAATAAGACACACGTACAACACTTAAGTGTCTTTATTGATGAATAAGACACATGTACAACACTAATATGTCAGGCCCTGTACTTCCCAACTCCAGAACTATAACATCCTCACCCATCCTTCTGAGCACTGGCACTGTACTTTCCACCTCCAGGACTCAAGTCCTGCCAACTGTGGGACTGATGGTAGTGTGTATTATAGGTTCCTGAGTGCTGGTGCTCAACATGCCATCACCATCACTGAGAAACTCATGGCTGAGAGACAAACAAGAATTACATCAGTGTGGTATTCAGAGTTCTTGTTTGCTTAACACCCAGGTAAATATTATAAGGAATGAGGATTTTATTTCTTTGCATAGTTTACAATGTGTAATTACAGTTTTGATTTGCTAAGTACAAAGAAAGCCACTGTCTTGCTGGGGCATTACGGGCAGACTAAATTTAATGCTTTATAGACTACTTAATACTAGGCATATACAGTGGTACCTCGAGTTTCGAACAGCTCCCAACTCAAACAGTTATGTAAGTGTATTTTTGAAAGTGCTTTTCTAAGTGTATTTTTGGGGGCCTGAAATGGACTAATCTAATTTACATTATTCCTTATGGGAACAAATTCGTTCGGTATCAGCACTCGAACAGCCTTCTGGAACAAATTAAGTTCATAACTCAAGGTACCACTGTATATCATAGTTGGTTTGAATTGAACAATGTTTTTTTATTTTTCAACTCAGGTAGTAGTGGTTTAGCAGTAATTGAATTAACAAGTAATTGATTAACAAGTTACAGTATTATATTTTGTCTCATTATGATTAACAAGCCCTTAATCGATCTTCTATTCTTAACATAATCTACCCTCTTAACATAATCTATTGTCTACTCTTAACATAATCTAACTTCATCTTTTAACATAATCTACCTTTTCTTAACATAATCATCCTTCTGCTCTTAACATAATCAACCTTCTCTTAACATAATCTACCTTCTACTGTTAACATAATCAACCTTCTCTTAACATAATCTACCTTCTTCTTTTAACACAATCTACCTTCTACTCTTAACATAATCTACCTTCTACTGTTAACATAATCAACCTTCCCTTAACATAATCTACCTTCTTCTTTTAACATAATCTACCTTCTACTCTTAACATAATCTACCTTCTTCTCTCAACATAATCTATCTTCTTCTCGTAACATAATCTACCTTCTACTCTTAACATAATCTACCTTCTACTCTTAACATAATCTACCTTCTACTCTTAACATAATCTACCTTCTACTCTTAACATAATATACCTTCTTCTTTTAACATAATCTACCTTCTACTCTTAACATAATCTACATTCTACTGTTAACATAATCAACCTTCTCTTAACATAATCTACCTTCTTCTTTTAACATAATCTACCTTCTACTCTTAACATAATCTACCTTCTACTGTTAACATAATCAACCTTCTCTTAACATAATCTACCTTCTTCTTTTAACATAATCTACCTTCTACTCTTAACATAATCTACCTTCTTCTTTTAACATAATCTACCTTCTTCTCTCAACATAATCTATCTTCTTCTCTTAACATAATCTACCTTCTACTCTTAACATAATCTACCTTCTACTCTTAACATAATCTACCTTCTACTCTTAACATAATCTACCTTCTACTCTTAACATAATCTACCTTCTACTCTTAACATAATCTACTTCTACTCTTAACATAATCTACCTTCTACTCTTAACATAATCTACCTTCTACTCTTAACATAATCTACCTTCTACTCTTAACATAATCTACCTTCTACTCTTAACATAATCTACCTTCTCTTAACATAATCTACCTTCTACTCTTAACATAATCTACCTTCTACTCTTAACATAATCTACCTTCTACTCTTAACATAATCTACCTTCTACTCTTAACATAATCTACCTTCTACTGTTAACATAATCTATCTTCTTCTCTTAACATAATCTACCTTCTACTCTTAACATAATCTACCTTCTACTCTTAACATAATCTACCTTCTGCTCTTAACATAATCTACCTTCTCTTAACATAATCTACCTTCTTCTCTTAACATAATCTACCTTCTTCTCTCAACATAATCTATCTTCTTCTCTTAACATAATCTACCTTCTACTCTTAACATAATCTACCTTCTACTCTTAACATAATCTACCTTCTACTCTTAACATAATCTACCTTCTACTCTTAACATAACCTACCTTCTACTGTTAACATAATCAACCTTCTCTTAACATAATCAACCTTCTGCTCTTAACATAATCAACCTTCTCTTAACATAATCTACCTTCTACTGTTAACATAATCAACCTCCTCTTAACATAATCTACCTTCTTCTCTTAACATAATCTACCTTCTACTCTTAACATAATCTACCTTCTACTGTTAACATAATCAACCTTCTCTTAACATAATCCACCTTCTACTCTTAACATAATCTACCTTCTACTCTTAACATAATCTACCTTCTACTCTTAACATAATCTACCTTCTACTCTTAACATAATCTACCTTCTACTCTTAACATAATTTACCTTCTACTCTTAACATAATCTACCTTCTACTCTTAACATAATCTACCTTCTACTCTTAACATAATCTACCTTCTACTCTTAACATAATCTACCTTCTACTCTTAACATAATCTACCTTCTACTCTTAACATAATCTACCTTCTACTCTTAACATAATCTACCTTCTACTCTTAACATAATTTACCTTCTACTCTTAACATAATCTACCTTCTACTCTTAACATAATCTACCTTCTACTCTTAACATAATCTACCTTCTACTCTTTACATAATTTACCTTCCTTATTGTACTTATCATTGTATTTAACTACGTAAGAAATCCTACTTAATAATCTATGTCTAGATCTAACGTAACCTTTAAGTATTAGAATTAGATTGCCAGACATTCATTGCATGTTAGTGGCTTTATTTTCTGTCTTCCATTGTTTTATTACATGTAAACTATATATCATGGACCGAGTGGGGTTTGAACCCATGGTGAGTGATGAAACTCACTGGCCAGTGTGTTAACAACTGTACCAGTTGCTCTAGTAAGATCCATATATCTAGGTGTGTTTCTATACACCATAAGGAGGTTAACATTGGTCCCAGTGATGGCAGCTTTGAGAGGACTTGAGCTAGAGCGTGACACAGCCACGCTGGTGTGGGATTCATCGGTAAAGACTTGCATTGGTGGTCACAGTGATGGCCCATGCTAACCTCCCTATGGTGTATAGAAATAGTATGCCTAGCTGTATAAATCTTATTAGAGTTCTTGGTATAGTTGTTAGCACATTGGCCTGTGAGTTGTAGCACTTGCCATGGTTCAGGCCGCACTTGTTCCCTGATTTGTTTGCAAATGTGTTGTCACACTTTCGTGAGTTTTGGAAACTTCATTATTTTTATGACAAAGAAATATACATGTATATTGTACTGTATTGTATTGATGTATGACTTAAGTAACTCAAAGTAGATCACTTTTGTATACCTCACTCTACCTGCCTGCTGCCCTCACTACTACATTTATATCTTCATCTTTCCCAGGCCCGGTGGCCTGGTGGCTAAAGCTCCCGCTTCACACACGGAGGGCCCGGGTTCGATTCCCGGCGGGTGGAAACATTTCTACACGTTTCCTTACACCTGTTGTCCTGTTCACCTAGCAGCAAATAGGTACCTGGGTGTTAGTCGACTGGTGTGGGTCGCATCCTGGGGGACAAGATTAAGGACCCCAATGGAAATAAGTTAGACAGTCCTCGATGACGCACTGACTTTCTTGGGTTATCCTGGGTGGCTAACCTCCCGGGGTTAAAAATCCGAACGAAATCTTCTTCTTCTTCTTCTTCACTCATTATAATCTATGTTTTACTTCTTCATTTTTCTCTTACATTAATATTTCATCGTAGTGAATTGTACAGGTGCTCCTTGACTTATGATGGTTTGACCTGCAATATTTTGATTTCATGATGGTGCAAAAGTAATTACTTTGGATGAAACTTAAGATAATTACCCAACATGAAGGCAGCAAGTCCCTAACTTGTATTCACTCATAAATACAAGTTATGTACTGGCATTTAGTTAGTTACAGTAATTATTTGTTTATTTACTTATTCAGTGGCAATAGATATACATGTATATTTATTTATTTATCATATTCATTTTCCATGGGGAAGTGGAAAAGAATTCTTCCTCCATAAGCCATGCGTGTCATAAGAGGCAACTAAAATGCCAGGAGCAAAGGGCTAGTAACCCCTTATCCTGTGTACATTACCAAAGTTGAAAAAAAAATTTTTGTTTTTCTTTGTGGGCCATCCTGCTTTGGTGGGATACAGCCTGTTTCTTGAAACAAAGAACGATCATATTCATATTCAACTTATAATAATTTTGACTTACAATGGGTTTGTCAGAACATAACCCCATCGTAAGTCAAGGCCCACCTGTATATTTTTTATATTTTTCATCTTTTCTTATATTGTTTTATTTTCATAACAGAGACGAGTCTTCAGTGTTGTGTGAAGCTTTGAGGCTTCACTGTTTCCCACCTTCAGTGCCTTATTCAGCGTCGTACCAGCAGAACCGATGCACGTGTTTATCTCTCGAGAACGCTGCTTCCCTATCGGCATATTTGGGCTTCCAACGATCTTTGCAACATTAATGTTCATAATGTAGTCTTCGGTGAGCACATTCCATCCAGTTTGGAATGCATCCACAAGATTTCCAATTAGATTATGTTAATCCTTCCGCTGTCCATCATATAGATTTACATCGGTGAGGCCAGGGTCCATCACGTGGTTTGGAATGCATCCACAAGATTTCCAGTTATGTTAATCCTTTCACTGTCCATCATATAGATTTACATCAGTGAGGCCAGGGTCCCTCACATAGTTATACATCATGAGCTCAACTCACTCAGATAAGCTGTGAGTGATAAATTTTGTCCTAAATATGAGAGAATGGGTCTGTGCAGTTAGTATGTACTGTATAAAAAAATCCTACCCATGCAGTGCATGATGGGGAAAAAAAACTGACAATGTGTATGGTTTAACCCGTAAACGGTCCAAGCAGATCTACGTTCACATGTGTAGTGCTACAAAAGTAGATCTACGTTTTTTTTACACATTTTCAAATGTAAAAAAAACAAAAAGAAGATCTACTTTTTTTACATACTTTCAAATGTTGAAAAAACGTATATATACGTTTGGACCGTTTACGGGTTAAAATAGCAACTTTGAGGTATTTTCTTGGATGGTTTTATTGACTGTTTCTTGGTCTCATTTGATATAATATAAGATACATTACTGAAATAGAGATAATTTTGATTGGTTTCAAGACAGGAAGCAACTTGAAATTGAGCTCAAATTAGCAGAATACAGTGGACCCCCGCATAACGATCACCTCCGAATGCGACCAATTATGTAAGTGTATTTATGTAAGTGCGTTTGTACGTGTATGTTTGGGGGTCTGAAATGGACTAATCTACTTCACAATATTCCTTATGGGAACAAATTCGGTCAGTACTGGCACCTGAACATACTTCTGGAGTGAAAAAATATCGTTAACCGGGGGTCCACTGTATTAAATTTTTGCCAATATTAAAGAGGATGGTAAGGTCACCCTACAACCCCTAGTCTATTCTATGGGTTAATAATAGGTCTGATTCAATTATTGGAATGGTGTAACCCATGACCAGTTTCCTGGTTATATTAAACCATGACCAGTTTCCTGGTTATATTTTATTATTTTGTGTGGATAAGAATGCAAAATAGAAAGTGTAGTACATATAGGGTAGGCCTGGGGATGTAGAGAGAGGAAATGTTGATTTAGTGCCAGGAATGACTACAGTCTTTATTATACACTCTATTTTTAAATTGATATTTTGTGTAAAATTGGCCAAATTACTGAATTCTGATCAATTTATAGGGTAGTTGAAATAGTTGAATGGGCAGTTTCTTGTGTTCACTTCATAGAATGGAGCCATACTAGTGAAATGGCTAAGAATTTGGTCAACTGGAACAATAGAATTGACTTGTAATAGGTCTCAGAGGGGGCGAAATCATTGGTGCATAAATTGCACCGAGACTGCTAACTTTGCACCTGTGTAATTTCATAAGTTTCTATCAAATTTTGTACTTTTGGTGTCATTTCCTTTGGAAAAAGATTCTCTATCATTTCAGAGGACAGATATAATTTGTTAAGTTTTTGGACACTGAGAGCAAGTTTCACTTCAGAGGTGAGGACAGTGAGAGGATTAATATTGTACAGTACTAAAAAGTGCCTTCACTTCTAGTGCCTTGTACTCTGTCTTATATGTACAACTACAGTCTTCCACTTGTCTGTTTCATGCAGTTGCGTTTAATTTATCCGCTTGTGTAATCCATCAGTCCCACGTGTGTTATGTTTTTCATAGAGGTGTTGGATTAATATCTTATTTCTAGGAGTAATGTTTATGCTATTTTCTGTGCAGAATATTTTCTCATAACCTGATACAGGTGGTCCTTGAGTTACGATGGAGTTACATCCTGACGAACCCATCATAAGTCAAAAATATCACGAGTTGAATATGAATACAAGTGATCCTCGATATACGGTGGTTTGACTCACAATATTTTGACCTTAAGATGGCTTGGCAGCAATTATTTGGAGATGAAACTTAAGATAATTATCCAGCATGAAGGTGGCAAATCTATAATATGTATTAATTTATTTATTTTTCAGTGCTGCTATTTACAGTAATTATTTATTTACTTATTCAGTTACGGTAGTTATTCGTTGACAGTGGTACCCCGAGTTTCGTCCAGCTCCCAACTCAAACAGTTATGTAAGTACAGTGGACCCCCGCTTAACGATCACCTCCAAATGCGACCAATTATGTAAGTGTATTTATGTAAGTGCGTTTGTACGTGTATGTTTGGGGGTCTGAAATGGACTAATCTACTTCACAATATTCCTTATGGGAAAAAATTCGGTCACTACTGGCACCTGAACATACTACTGGAATGAAAAAAGTTCGTTAACCGGGGGTCCACTGTATATTATTGTAAGTGATTTTGTAAGTGTGTTTTTGGGGGTCTGAAATGGACTAATCTAATTTACATTATTACTTATTGGAACAAATTCATTCAGTAATGGCATTCGAACAGCCTTCTGGAATGAATTATGGCCAAAACTTGGGGTACCACTGTACTTATTTAGAATATCATTCATATTAGACTTACAATATTTTTGACTGAGGAAAGGTTTGTTAGAATGTAATCTCATCATGAGTCAAAGACCGCCTGTAGTAGATCAAGTTGGACTGAAACATCAACATAAGTTTCATTCTCTTATGTGCGGGTTATTTGTGTATTGTTAACTATAATTGTTAATGTATCTTGCAGCAGTCTTGCAATTGCATCACTCAGCAGATATATTAGTCACAATGCTAAATATATTATGCATGTATATATATATATTCTCCATGGGGAAGTGGAACAGAATTCTTCCTCCGTAAGCCATGCGTGTTGTAAGAGGCAACTAAAATGCCGGGAGCAAGGGGCTAGTAACCTCTTCTCCTGTATATATTACTAAATGTAAAAGGAGAAACTTTCGTTTTTCCTTTTGGGCCACCCCGCCTCGGTGGGATACGGCCGGTGTGTTGAAAGAAAGAAGAAAGAAGATATATATATATAAGGTCGAAGGACACATTGCACCATTTGATTGTTGCAGCGTTTCACTCTCCAGGAGATTTGTCCAGTCGTACTGATTGGACAAATCTACTGGACTTGTGGAATCGCAACGACACGATTGTGACGCACGGCTTCAAACACCAGTTGTTCCTCGAGTTTTTTATAGCTTTTTAAGAGTGAAACAGTGCAACAATATCACATTAGCGTAACTGATTTATCTAAGATGAATCAGTTATGCACGTTCTGATATTACATTAGTTACACGTGTTCTGTTATCTAAGATATTACATTAGTTATACACGTGTCCTGTTATCTAAGATATTACATTAGTTACACACGTCCTGTTATCTAAGATATTACATTGGTTACACATATGTCTTGTTATCTAAGATATTACACTACCTACACACATGACTTCTTGTGTAAGATATTACATTAGTTACACACATGTCCTATTATGTAAAATATTACATTAGTTACACACGTGTCCTGCAATCTAAGATCTTCTTTCAACAAACTGACCATATCCCACCGAGGCAGGATGGTCCAAAAGGAAAAACGAAAGTTTCTTTTAAATTTAGTAATGTATACAGGAGAAGGGGTTACTATCCCCTTGCTCCCGGCATTTTAGTTTCCTCTTACAACATGCATGGCTCACAGAGGAAGAATTCTGTTCCACTTCCCCATGGAGGAAATACACAAGAAGAAGAACTAGTAAGGAAATAGAAGAAAACTCAGAGGGGTGTGTGTATATATATGCTTGTCTATGCATGTGCAGTGTGACCTAAGTGTAAGTAGAAGTAGCAAGATGTACCTGAAATCTTGCATGTTTATGAGACAGAAAAAGGACACCAGCAATCTTACCATCGTGTAAAACAATTACAGGTTTCTGTTATACACTCACTTGGTAGGACGGTAGTACTTCCCTGGGTGACTGCTGTCTACCAACCTACTACCTAGAGCTACCTAAGATATCATTGATAATTCTAACAACAGTATTATGCCTGTATGTAACTTAGTAAGCTCACTCTGACTTCATGTATATGTTAATTCAGTGTTAAGTATGAGTATTGTTTGTGTATTGTGTATACCCCACTATGTATACTGGACAGTATAAACAATATTTGATTCCTACATAAATACTTTAATTTATAGATTATGAAAAATATTATATCTGAATATTCTTTACATGTGCCTTGTAATGGTCATAAAAAATTTTATGTTAGTAAAAAATGTATTTTTGTTTGTTAAAAGGAAAATAAGGGGTGTCTTTATCGGCAGTTTTTTTGGGAGGCTTTGTTGTGAGTACTGGGAGACTTTTAAAGGCTGGAGAAGTGAAAACTGGGGGATAGCCCCTGGTTAGCAGCAGGTGTTCGTTACTGTAGTTATAAAGATCAGAGTGTTTGAGTTATCTTACTACGGTATGAACCCTAGTCGGGACTCCCCCCCTAACTTGAAAATTGGGGACACGATTGGGAAACAAACTTGGCGGTTAGTCGTAAAAACTCGGGGACCAGTGTGTCACATGGGCCAGCCCCCGGGCTCACTAGGTATATTTTTACACATAAAAAGGTTAGCACGGGGCCCCACTGTGCCCAATAAAAGTTTTTACAGGTGAATTCCCCCCCAGTGGGGCCCGTGGAACTCTATTTTGAGTCCCCCTGGGGCGTCTTTCATGAGTCCGAAATCGTAATGACACGTTTGGTGTATAAACATCCCTAGTTGGTGAATTTTTTGCAGCCGCTGGCCCAGTGGCTTACATGGGGCCGGGGATTTTAAAATCCTCCCCATGAGTTAAATCCCATCCATGGTTGGTTTATGTACCCTAATTTTTTAACCTCTCCAGTTATGTTGTTCTGAAGAAAATTGACAATGCAAATCTGGGATCTTTTTGAATTTTTTCCCAACCAGTGGCTTTATAAATACATACAAGGACATAATGTGAAAATTATATACTGGAACCTAAAAAAATCGAACTGCCCCCAACTCAACCAATTATTACAGTGGCCCCCCGCAGTCGGTGAAAAGCTCTTTTCCCAAAGGGACAGTACTCCTCCCATCTTGTTCCTCACCCTATACCCGACATAAAAAGGATGTCGCCACAGCCCGTGTCTTCCTTTGCGATGAACCCGAATCGCTGACAGTGTTTTCTTGAAGACACTGAAAGGCCCAGGCGGACATCAACCCAAAATCTTTCAGGGGTGCAGAAAAAATTGAATTTTAACGTGAGAAATTTCAATTACTCAGATTGGTAAAATGGGGAAAAAAATCTTCATCAGAGTACAAAACAAATTTGGCCAAAAAAATAGAGCGAAAACCAACTAAAAGCCCTGGAGTGATATGTCGGGGGATCTCCTTCAAGACCATAAAAATTGTATCAATCGATCTGTAGAAAAATGACAGGATGGTAATGGAACCCTTTAAAACTAGGGGGCCAAGCCATGTGAAATCTTCGGTATTGTTCTATTAGGGGTGGGAAAATTGCTGAAATAACGACCTTTCAAGGGAGGTGAAATTTCCGACCCAGAAATTACGGAAATTTCAGGCGGCCCAAAAGGGGATAAACACCTCAATTACTGGGGGTTGAGGTTCCCAACCTGATTCCCTGGAAGAGGAGGGGAAAATTTAAAAATATAACCTGGAAAAATAGAGGGACTGACCGAATTCACACGAAAAAAATCCCACGAAACAAAAAAAGGGCATGACCAAACCCCCCCAAAAAAAGCAGGGGGTTTGCCCCCCCCACCTTTTAAAAACCAAAAGTCCCAAAAATGGCACTAAAGCACTAAAGCACCTAAGCCCCTTGTGCGTTGGTTTTCGTTTGGGCGCAACCAGGTGTTGGGGGGTCGTCCACCCAAGGGGCCGGGGCCGCGGGGGGGTTGACCCCGGACTCTCTCCGGGAAAAATCCAGGGAAATAACGATTACCTCGAATGGACCAATTATGTAAGTGTATTTATGTAAGTGTGTTTGTAGTGATGTTTGGGTTGAAATGGATAATCTACTTCCAATTTTTTCTTATGGGAAAAATTCGGTCAGTACTGGCCCTGAAAATATTTTGGAGTGAAAAAATATCGTTAACCGGGGGTCCACTGTAAATTTTATTTTTGTAAATGGGATTAGGTCAGGGGTTTCAATAGGTTGAGTAAAGAAAGGGTGCAATAATGTTGAAGGATAAGTATGGCAGGAAAAAAGGATTAAAAGTTTAAAAACAAGGATTAGTGGAGTAAAATAAAGGTGGGGTGAAAGGGGTTATAAAAAGCGTTAGACCTGGGGAAGAGAGAAATGGAGGGAGAGAGAGTTTTGGGAAAAGTTGGTTTGGGGGGGGGAGTTTTTAATTTAAATGTGGGAAATAATGGTGGTTGGGGATTCAATGCAAATGGGTAAAAATGTTATGGAGGGGTAGTAGGTAAATTTGGGGTGCCAGGGGTAAATGTAAATGGGGAGCCTTTAATTGAGCTATGTGTAGAAAGAGATTTGGTAATAAGTAATACATATTTTATGAAAAGAGGATAAATAATATACAAGGTATGATGTAGCACATAATGAAAGATAGTTTATTAGATTATGTATTGGTGGATAAAAGGTTGATGGGTAGGCTCCAGGATGTACATGTTTATAGAGGGGCAACTGATATATCGGATCATTATTTAGTTGTAGCTACAGTTAGAGTAAGAGGTAGATGGGAAAAGAGGAAGGTGGCAACAACAAGTAAGAGGGAGGTGAAAGTGTATAAACTAAGGGAGGAGGAAGTTCGGGTGAGATATAAGGGACTATTGGCAGAAAGGTGGGCTAGTGCAAAGATGAGTAGTGGGGAGGTTGAAGAGGGTTGGAACAGTTTTAAAAATGCAGTATTAGAATGTGGGGCAGAAGTTTGTGGTTATAGGAGGGTGGGGGCAGGAGGAAAGAGGAGTGATTGGTGGAATGATGAAGTAAAGGGTGTGATAAAAGAGAAAAAGGTAGCTTATGAGAGGTTTTTACAAGCAGAAGTGTTATAAGAAGAGCAGAGTATATGGAGAGTAAAAGAAAGGTAAAGAGAGTGGTGAGAGAGTGCAAAAGGAGAGCAGATGATAGAGTGGGAGAGGCACTGTCAAGAAATTTTAATGAAAATAAGAAAAAATTTTGGAGTGAGTTAAACAAGTTAAGAAAGCCTAGGGAAAGTATGGATTTGTCAGTTAAAAACAGAGTAGGGGAGTTAGTAGATGGGGAGAGGGAGGTATTGGGTAGATGGCGAGAATATTTTGAGGAACTTTTAAATGTTAAGGAAGAAACAGAGGCAGTAATTTCATGCACTGGTCATGGAGGTATACCATCTTTTAGGAGTGAAGAAGAGTAGAATGTAAGTGTGGGGGAGGTACGTGAGGCATTACGTAAAATGAAAGGGGGTAAAGCAGCTGGAACTGATGGGATCATGACAGAAATGTTAAAAGCAGGGGGGGATATAGTGTTGGAGTGGTTGGTACTTTTGTTTAATAAATGTATGAAAGAGGGGAAGGTACCTAGGGATTGGCGGAGAGCATGTATAGTCCCTTTATATAAAGGTAAAGGGGACAAAAGAGACTAAAAATTATAGAGGAATAAGTTTACTGAGTATACCAAGAAAAGTGTACGGTAGGGTTATAATTGAAAGAATTAGAGGTAAGACAGAATGTAGGATTGTGGATGAGCAAGGAGGTTTCAGAGTGGGTAGGGGATGTGTAGATCAAGTGTTTACATTGAAGCTTATATGTGAACAGTATTTAGATAAAGGTAGGAAAGTTTTTATTGCATTTATGGATTTAGAAAAGGCATATGATAGAGTGGATAGAGGAGCAATGTGGCAGATGTTGCAAGTATATGGAATAGGTGGTAAGTTATTAAATGCTGTAAAGAGTTTTTATGAGGATAGTGAGGCTCAGGTTAGGGTGTGTAGAAGAGAGGGAGACTACTTCCCGGTAAAAGTAGGTCTTAGACAGGGATGTGTAATGTCACCATGGTTGTTTAATATATTTATAGATGGGGTTGTAAAAGAAGTAAATGCTAGGGTGTTCAGGAGAAGGGTGGGATTAAATTATGGGGAATCAAATACAAAATGGGAATTGACACAGCTACTTTTTGCTGATGATAATGTGCTTATGGGAGATTCTAAAGAAAAATTGCAAAGGTTAGTGGATGAATTTGGGAATGTGTGTAAAGGTAGAAAGTTGAAAGTGAACATAGAAAAGAGTAAGGTGATGAGGGTGTCAAATGATTTAGATAAAGAAAAATTGGATATCAAATTGGGGAGGAGGAGTATGGAAGAAGTGAATGTTTTCAGATACTTGGGAGTTGACGTGTCGGCGGATGGATTTATGAAGGATGAGGTTAATCATAGAATTGATGAGGGAAAAAAGGTGAGGGGTGCTTTGAGGTATATGTGGAGTCAAAAAACGTTATCTATGGAGGCAAAGAAGGGAATGTATGAAAGTATAGTAGTACCAACACTCTTATATGGGTGTGAAGCTTGGGTGGTAAATGCAGCAGCGAGGAGACGGTTGGAGGCAGTGGAGATGTCCTGTTTAAGGGCATGTGTGATGTAAATATTATGCAGAAAATTCGGAGTGTGGAAATTAGGAAAAGGTGTGGAGTTAATAAAAGTATTAGTCAGAGGGCAGAAGAGGGGTTGTTGAGGTGGTTTGGTCATTTAGAGAGAATGGATCAAAGTAGAATGACATGGAAAGCATATAAATCTATAGGGGAAGGAAGGCGGGGTAGGGGTCGTCCTCGAAAGGGTTGGAGAGAGGGTGTAAAGGAGGTTTTGTGGGCAAGGGGCTTGGACTTCCAGCAAGTGTGTGTGAGCGTGTTAGATAGGAGTGAATGGAGACGAATGGTACTTGGGACCTGACAATCTGTTGGAGTGTGAGCAGGGTAATATTTAGTGAAGGGATTCAGGGAAACCAGTTATTTTCATATAGTTGGACTTGAGTCCTGGAAATGGGAAGTACAATGCCTGCACTTTAAAGGAGGGGTTTGGGATATTGGCAGTTTGGAGGGATATGTTGTGTATCTTTATATGTGTATGCTTCTAAACTGTTGTATTCTGAGCACCTCTGCAAAAACAGTGATAATGTGCTAGTGTGGTGAAAGTGTTGAATGATGATGAAAGTATTTTCTTTTTGGGGATTTTCTTTCTTTTTTGGGTCACCCTGCCTCGGTGGGAGACGGCCGACTTGTTGAAAAAAAAAAAAAAATTTGTAA